CCACCCAGGCGCCCCCAGAAGAGACTCTTAAATATGGAGAACAAGCAGCGGGTTACTGGAGCGGTTGTGGGAGGGGGGAATGGGCTCAATGGGTAAGGGGAACTAAGGCATCTACTCCTAAAATCATTGTTGCACTATATGCTAACTTGGATGTAAATTTAAAAAATAAATTAAATATATTAAAAAAAAAGGGACACCTGGGGCGCCTGGGTGGCGCAGTCGGTTAAGCGTCCGACTTCAGCCAGGTCATGATCTCACGGTCCGTGAGTTCGAGCCCTGCGTCGGGCTCTGGGCTGATGGCTCAGAGCCTGGAGCCTGTTTCCGATTCTGTGCCTCCCTCTCTCTCTGCCCCTCCCCCGTTCATGCTCTGTCTCTCTCTGTCCCAAAAATAAATAAACGTTGAAAAAAAAAAATTTAAAAAAAAAATTTAAAAAAAGGGACACCAGAAATAGATTACAAAATTGTGTCTCATGATCCTATTTTTATTTAAAAAAAAAAAAAAGGTCAATACTTGTTTTAGCTTTGGTATTATTATTATAGATGATTTTTTTCCTTTTGTTTTTCTACTTATTCAAATGCTTAAAAACAAGCATGTAATAATTTTATAAGAATTACACCTTAAATGAAATTTAAGATACAGAATTATTAACCCATAGAATTTGTCACACATGTATTTCTATCCTTAGTAGATTAAGTTTATGGAATCTGGACTTTATGGTACCACCATGATATTAACTTTATTATCACTCAGGAAAACCTGAGCATGAAATAATACAGTGCCTCTAGTTTACAGGGAGTCCAGTTTTATTTTGTTTTGTTTTGTTTTTTTATGTTTATTTAGAAAAAGAGAGAGAGCCAGAGCATGAGTGGGGGAGGGGCAGAGAGCAAGGGAGACACAGAATCTGAAGCAGGCTCCAGGCTCTGAGCTGTCAGCACAGAGCCCGATGCAGGCTTGTACTCATGAACCACAAGATTGTGACCTGAGCTGAAGTCGGACGCTTAACTGACTGAGCCACCCGGGTGCCCTGGCAGTCCTGGTTTTATTGCACTTCACTTTATTGCTGTTTGCAAATGTTGCATTTTTTTTACAAACTGCCAGGGTTCCTGGCAACCCTGATCGAGCAAGGCTATTGGTGCCATTTTCCCAACAGCATTTGTGTCTCTGTGTCACATTTTGGTGATTCTTGCAATATTTGAAGCTTTTTCATTACTATTTTATTTGTTATGGTAATCTGTGATCAGTGATTTTTTTTTTAATGTTTATTTTTGAGAGTGCAAGCACAGGAGGGGTGAGAGAGAAGGGGGACAGAGGATCCAAAGTGGGCTCTGTGCTGACAGCAGTGAGCCCAACATGGGGCTCAAACTCACGAACTGTGAGATCATGACCTGAAGTCAGCTGTTCAACCAACTGACCCAACCAGGCACTCCTGTGATCAGAGATCTTTTTTTTTTTTTTTAACGTTTATTTATTTTTGAGACAGAGAGAGAGAGAGCGCATGAACGGGGGAGGGTCAGAGAAAGAGGGAGACACAGAATCTGAAACAGGCTCCAGGCTCCGAACTGTCAGCACAGAGCCCGACGCGGGGCTCGAACTCACGGACTGCAAGATCATGACCTGGGCCGAAGTCGGACGCTTAACCGACTGAGCCACCCAGGTGCCCCACAGAGATCTTTGATATTACTATTGCAATTGTTTGGGGGCCCATATAAGTCAGCAAACTTAACTGATAAATGTTGTGTGTGTTCTGACTGCTCCACTCACTGGCTGTTCCCCCATCCGTCTCCCTCTCCTCAGGCCTCCTCCCTCTTCCTTGAGACGTAATAATACTGAAATGAGGCTGATTAAAAAGCCTGCGATGGCCTCGAAGTGTTCCAGGGAAAGAAAGAGTTGCACGTCTCACTTGAAATCAAAAGCTAGAAACAATTAAGCTTAGTTGAGGAAGGCATGTCGAAATCCAAGAGAGGCTGAAAGCTTGGCCCCTTGCACCAAACAGCCGTGTTGTAAATGCAAAGGAAAAGTTCTTGAAGGAAAGGAAAAGTTCACTCCAGTGAACATATGGATAAGAAAGCGAAACAGCCTTATTACTTGTTTATTTTTAAATGTTTATTTATTTATTTTGAGAGGAGAGAGAGAGAGAGTGCACAAACAGGGGAAGGGCAGAGAGAGGGCGAGAGAATCCCAAGCAGGCTCCATGCAGAGCCCATTGCAGGGCTCGATCTCATGAACCATGAGATCATGACCTGAGTTGAAGTCAGGAGTCAGGAGCTTAACCAACAGAGCCACCCAGGCGCCCCCTCAAAACTGCCTTTTTGCTAATGTGCAGAAAGGGTTAATGGTCTGGCTAGAAGGTCAAACCGGTCCCAATGTTCCCTGAAGTCAAAGCCTAATCCAGAGCAAGGCTGATTCTTTTCAATTCTGTAAAGGTCGAGAGATTTTCCTCACTTCATGAGGAAGTGCAGAAGGAGAGTCTGAAGCTAGCAGGGGTTGGTTTGGGAGGTTTAAGGAAAGAAGTCATCTCCATAACATAAATGTGAGAGGTGAAATGTCAAGTGTTGATGCAGAAGCTGTGGCAGGTTATCCAGAAGATCGAGCTAAGACAACTCATGATGATGGCCACACTCGATGAAACAGCCTTCTATTGGGTGAAGACGCCATCGAGGGTTTTCATGGCCAGAGAGGAGAAGTCAATGCTTGGCTTCGAAGCTTCATAGGACAGGCTGACTCTCTTGCTAGGGGCTAATTCAGTGGGTGACCTGAAGTTGAAACCAATGTTCACTTACCATTCTGAAAATCCTCGGGCCCTTAAAATTTTATGCAAAATCTACTCTGCCTGTGCTCTATTAATAGAAAAAAGCCTGGATGACAGCACACCTGTTTACAACATGGTTTACTGAATATTTAAAGCCCACCGTTAAGACCTACTGCTCAGAAAAAAAGATTCCTGCTTACTGACAATGCACCTGGTCACCCAAGCACTCTGGTGGAGACATGCAGTGAGATTAATGTTGTTTTCATGCCTGCCAACACAACACCCGTTCTGCAGTCCATGGGTCAAGGGGTAGTTTTAACTTTCAAGCGTTCTTATTTAAGAAGTATAGTTCCTAAGACTATAGCTGCCATAGATAGTGATCTCTCTGATGGATGTGGGCAAAGTAGACTGAAAACCTTCTGGAAAGGGTTCACCATTCTAGGTGCCATCAAGAACATTTGTGATTTAAAAAAAAAAAGAAAGAACATTTGTGATTCATGGGAAGAGGTCAAACAATATCAATGGGAGTTTGGAAGAAGTTGATTCCAACTCTGTAGATGACTTTGAGGGATTCAAGACTCCAGTGGAGGCAGACGGGGTAGAGATGGCAAGACAGCCAGGGTCAGAAGTGGAGCCTGAACGCGTGACCGATGGCTGCAATCTCGGGATGAAACTTGAACGAATGAGGAGTTGCTTCTGATGGGTGAGCAAAGGAAGTGGTTTCCTGAGATAAGATCTACTCCTGGTGAAGATGCCATGAAGATTGTTGAAACGACAACAAAGGATTTAGAATATTACATGAATTCAGTTGATAAAGCCGCAGCAGGGTTTGCGAGGACTGACTCCAATTTTGAAAGAAGTTCTACTGAGGGTCAGATGCTATCAAACAGCATCCCGCACCACAGAGAGATTGTTTGTGAAAGGAAGAGTCGGCCAATCAATGAGGCACACTTCACTGTTCTCTTATTTTAAGAAATTGCTACAGCCATCCGACCTTTGGCAACCATCACCCTCATGAGTCAGCAGCCATCAACATCAGGTGAGACCCTCTACCAGTGGGGCGCCTGGGTGGCTCAGTTGGTTAGGCATCCGACTCTTGATTTCAGTTCAGGTCACGACCTCACCATTCGTAGGATTGAGCCCTACATCAGGTTTGGCTCTAGCAGCGTGGAGCCTGCTTGGGATGCTTCTTGCTTCTCTCTCTGCCCCTTCCCTCCCCCACACTCTCTCTCAAAATAAATAAACGAAAAAAAAAAAAGACCCTCTACCAACAAGATTGGGACTTGCTCAAAGCTCAAAGGATGGTTAGCATTTTTTAGTAATAAAATACTTTATTCATTTATTTTTTAATTAAAAAAAATTTTTTTAAATGTTTTTATTTATTTTTGAGACAGAGAGAGACAGAACATGAGCAGGGGAGAGGCAGAGAAAGAGAGGGAGACACAGAATCTGAAGCAGGCTCCAGGCTCCGAGCTGTCAGCACAGAGACTGACACGGGGCTCGAACTCACGAACTGTGAGATCATGACCTGAGCTGAAGTCGGACGCTCAACCGACTGAGCCACCCAGGCGCCCCAGTAATAAAGTACTTTAAAATTAAGGTATGTACATTGTTTTAGACACAATGGTGTTGCATACTTAACAGAGTACAGTGTAGCATAAATGTAAGTTTTACATGCACTGGGAAACCAACAAAATTCATTTGACTTGCTTTATGGCAACGTTTGCTTTGTTGCAGTGTTCCGGAATGGACCCTGCAATATCTCTGAGGCAGGCCTGCATCAGGTGCTGCAAATCCCTGACAGACAGAGGTGCAGTACAGAGCTCCAGGAGCCCCACATGGGCATCGGGGACTCCTGCATGGGCTGGGAGAGTTACGGGAGACTCTGAGTCCTGCACAGGTCACCAGACTGCTGGGTGAAGAAGAGCCCTTAGGCCCAGCTCCTGGTCCTCTCCCATCTAGCATGCCGGGAAGGACCCAGGGAGGCCTTCTTAGACGCTCTTTCACTCAAAATATTTCAATTTAGCCTAACAGAGGTAGGAACAGATATTTCCCAGTATTCTAATGGAAGTCTGAAAAATTAAGAGTTGCTTTCTATGTATTTAATTCGTAACCAACCTAACTTAAAACTGACTTTTCATAGAGTCTCAAAAGACCTTGCTTTTTTGCAGAACCAATTTGAGCTGGAAAACAAAGCAGGATGGGAGACAGGCTGTCATTCGGTACAAGAAAGATCAGGAAGATCGTTCTCACGGGGACTGCCTGGGAGAGGAAGGAGCCACCTCATGAGGTGTCGAGCTGTGCAGGAAGAGCCGGCCTTGGGCAGGGTGGGGTCAGATGGCACCGAGGAGCCCTCCACCACTTTTCTGATGCCCGCACGACCGTGTGCCACTCGGGCTCCCCAACTGAGTATTTTTTTTTTTCAAGTTTATTTAAGAGAAAAAGAGAGAGCGAGCGAGCAGGGGAGGGGCAGGGAGAGAGGGAGAGGGAGAGAGAATCTCAAGCGGGCTCCAAGCTGCCAGCGCAGAGCCCGACGCGGGGCTCCAACTCATGAACCGTGAGGTAATGACCGGAGCCGAAACCCAGAGTCGGACACTTCACTGACTGAGCCACTGAGTGATCCCCTGACTGAGAATCCCCAGAGACTTGGCTCTTGTTCATTCTCTAGTATTACAGTATTCTCTAGTATCCTCTAGAGTATTACTCAGTATTACGCAGTATTCTACAGTATTCTCTAGTATCACGCAAATAACTGACTTTCAGTTCTATTTGCTACAATAGTCAAAACATGTAGCTCACCAAAAAATGGTTTTAAAAGCTTAAATTTAACTGAAACTCAACATTTGAAAGATGTTCCTTTCCTATCTCAAGTAGGAAACATTAATAAGCAAAGCAGCTAATCTATAGTGATGTTAACCCAGACGAGGGTCTGCGGTCAGGAGTTTTCTCCAAGGAGTATCGTGCCAGAATCAGGAGAGACTTGAAGAGCCGGGTGTGAGTGGCAGTGGGAAGCACGAAGAGTTCTAGAATCTTCATTACGGACACAAGAATTTCTGGTGGGTTTAGAGGGTGAGCACATTGGACTTCCCTATTTAGTGTTAAACCAAAATTCATCATCGCCCTGGTCAGCTAAACCGGAAGGCTATTTTGACAGGTAGAGAAATGGATTTTTGAAGACACAACAACTCGTGTGAAAGCCAATGAAAAGACTTGAGGGCAGTGACGATGAGTTGTCTCCAAGTGCTCCCTACTGGTGAGCCAGAACACACTCCACTTTTGACACTGAAAAGCAGGGGCACTGGCATTTCCGGTGACATCCTGATGGTACTTCAGCTGAGCCTGGGTGTGTCCGTCAGGAGCTGGGGTGAGAAGCCCAGTGGACAGGTGGGCAGGACGGGGCACAGTGATAAGACCCCGAGAGCTAAGTCTCTTGGCTTCCCGGCAGCGCGTGGGCGGCCCAGAGTGGACCAAACACCTACTCACCCAGTGTTTCCGATCAACGTCTTCGTCTGCGTCCCACTTCCGCGTTAAGAAAGGGTGTTTTTTGCTGATTATTTCTCCTTCGAAGAAGGTCGTGAGAGTTGGATACTCCTATGGTAAAAACCCAAATACCAAAACAAGATGTTGAACAGCAGTTTTAACCTTTCCCAAAGGAAAAATCAACCTTGCTCTTTAACTTCTCCCTAGGACTTTGAAAAAATGGTCACACTGGCTAAGCAACAACCCAGAGTTAGGTCCAGAGATTTGCCGATGGCTGTGGAGTCAGCTTGAATTGGAGGTGCCCACAAAGTCTCTTGGACGTTATGAACTTTGCCAGAAGCAGAGAACCCTTCCCTGACTTCATTTGTTATGTACTAATCACTCGAAAAGAACCTGAACAAGTAAATTCTGAGTATTCTAGGATGCAAAGCAGATGGTAACTAAGTTGATTTTACTTTCCAAGGAAAACACCCCAGGAGGCTCCACAATCACAGCATTCACAGCTCAGTCTCCCTGACGCCATGCCCACTGGTTCTCAAACTAGCTCAGTCATTTGTCTCCTGTGCCCGTCCGGGGAGTGGGTTTTTTGTGGGTTTTTTTTTTGGTTGTCGTTGTGGTTGTTTTGTGTTCTTTTTTTAAAGAATACCTCGATGCGTTAGAGTAACATTTAATTTTATCATATGAACTAAGGCAATTTATACTAGGGAAAATATACATAAATCGCGTCTGCAATGGAAAATCACAACAACGGGAAAAAAACCCCACAAAAACGGGAAAAAATAAGCTGTCATCCTAACTGGGTGCTTAGAATGCTCTTGTCAATTTTATTTGATATTTGTTCATCTGCTAAGAAGAAGGCACCAAAGATTCTGAAAAATACTAATGGAAGAAAAAGTTAACAATTTAATAAGTCCACCATTTCTCTGCATTTGTAAAACCCAATCAACTGACTGACCAACTAACCAACCCTTCAGCCCAGCCTGCCAGCCTCTGGTGCTTCTTGGAAGCATGATAATGGTGGTCAGTGGCCTGGCAAACCACGGATTACAGTCTTAATGTCCTTGGGACTAGAGGTCCCACTTTCTTCTTCAGACACTATGTATGCCCCTCTTATTCTGCATCAAACATCTACGTGTGTTTAAAATCAATCTGTTCTGGGGCGCCTGGGTGGCTCAGCCAGTTAAATGTCTGACTTCGGCTCAGGTCATGATCTCGCAGTTCATGAGTTTGAGCTCCGCACCAAGCTCACTGTGGTCGGCGTGGAGCCCACTTTGGATCCTCTGTCTTCCTCCCTCCCTCCCTCTCTCTCTCTCTCTCTGTCTCTCTCTCTCTGCCCATTCCCAGCTCATCCTCTCCCTCTCTCAAAAATAAATATTAAAAAAAATTTTTATATAAAAAATAAAATAAAATAAAATAAAATAAAATAAAATAAAATAAAATAAATCTGTTCCGATGGCTTTGCTACTTCTCTTGGCTTGGCCTGCCATGATGTAGCTGGGGACGTCGCTAAGAGATAGCAGTTCCCAGGAAACAGTATGGCCGCTCGCCCGCACAGGAGCAGACTGAAGGGGCCTGCTTCACTACCCAGCACCGAGGCTGGCGGCTGTCTTCACAGTGAACTCTGAGATATATAACACCCCCACCCCCCACCAAACCTCAACCCTTTACCCCCGACACGGTGGCCGGGTTCCTCGTTCAGGTATTTATATATACGGAGTGAAGAAATTAAAGAGGAGATTTCCTAAATGGAAACCTGATTTAAAACCTGATTTAAAATATAAATAAATTATCCTCATCTGTTTTAGGAAGAACTGCTAAGGGAGAAAGTTCTGTATCAGTACCTGACTTGAGATTTTAAATTATTTTATTTTAATGTTTCTTCTTTTTTGAGAGACAAAGAGAGACAGAGCGTGAGCGGGGTAGGGGCGGAAAGAGGGAGACACAGAATCCGAAGCAGGCTCCAGGCTCTGAGCTGTCAGCACAGAGCCCGACGCAGGGCTGGAACCCACAAATCGTGAGATTATGACCTCAGCCGGAGTCGGACGCCTAACCACCTAAGCAAGCCATCCAGGCTTGAGATTTTAAATGAAAAGCTATACACATTGATTTTCTGAGGTTTTAACTTTTTTTAGCTTCCACAAGAGAGAAAAGAAGGAAATGATAAATGGGCCCTCTTACATTACGAAGAAAATACTTATGGTTCAAATAGAAAGTCTTCCTAGTGAGCTGATTCTGCACTGACATCTCTCTAAAAATATCTCAGGCAGTTAGATAAGGGTGACTGCAAGGTACCCCGAACTCTGAGAATTAAAATAAAATAAATACTGCCTAATGAGTGCGAGTCAACATGTACAGAAGTTACCAAAACCACGAACTATCTCTCAGGGCAGGACCAGGAAATTTAAGCACTTGACTACAGCCAAAGTGGCGGTAACGTATAAACTCAAAGGAAAAACTCTGTCTGCGGGAAGGTCGTCAAAAAAACGAGTCAGAGAGAAGAGACACGGCTAGCACCCCCCACTCTCACCCCCGGAACAGGCGTGGGCTTACTACAGTGGGCCTAGCAGTCGTGGCATTTAAGTCGTCCAATCCACTCCCCGCACGGTTAACAGGCCCACCAAAAACTCTCCAGTAATGGGTCTGGCTTTCCGTGTAGACCTGCCTTCTGGGGGGATTAACACCCACTGGCTACTAAGTCAGAGAGGACTTCTGGAACGTGCATGTACCTCATTTTAAAATGAGTAAATGCGCATTCTTGTTCATACATCAGTCCTGCTGAGTTTGATTAGCGTGACCTATCTCCCTGGCCTGGCTCAGAGCAAGTCTAGCACAAGCTCAGCAGAAGCTTTCAAACCTGTCTAGTGAGTGAGTGGAGGGCCTGGCCGTGACTCTCCCAAGGCTGGGCTCCTAGGCCCTGTGCCAGCTTCTGGGCCTCCCTAGAAATGTCCCTTCTTTCTGCTGGTGGCGGGCTCAGAATTGCAAAAAAAAAATGCTACCTGACGCCCATTCTTCACAATTCTGGGATTCCATTTCCACAAGGCACATGGACTTTGTAATAACTGTGCTCATTCGTGAACGTGAGGCAGCCAAGAGACCAATGATCTCCAACTTAATAGTTAATTTTCCATGTGGTGTACATGAGGAAGACTATGGCTAAAACTCAACCATTTAAATGGTTTTATTAAAATCAATTACATATTCGATATCCTAACAACTATAAACGTTAAAGCAAACAAACACGAACAGCTGTATTTTAGAATACGGGTATAAAGTCATTCAGAGAATCCTCACCCTTTCTGGCATTTCACTGATCGTGTCCAGTGACCACGTACTGGATTTAGAATTTCAAAGGTGAGTCCATAGTTGTACCACACCATGACTATCCTAGAAGCCAATGAACTGTACATTTTATTATTGTTTTTTTTAAGTGGGCTCCATGCCCAATGTGGGACTTGAACTCACGTCCCTGAGACCAGGAGTCACATGTTCTTCTGACGGAGCCAGCCAGGCACCCCCTGCATCTTACATGGGTGACCTGTGTGGTATGTGAACTGTATGTCAGTAAAGCAACTAAAAAGGTTCTTAAAAGAGATGAAATCCAAAGAACCCTGACGTCCTAGGAGCCTCGGAAACACAGCCGCCTTTCTCTAATTCAATGCCACTTGAGGGCCACACCTGAGTCCACGGCTCAACCCGGCGCAGACCAGTCTGGGGGGCCATGTGCTTGTGAGGCCGCTCGTGCGCGGGCGGGAAGAACTGGCCAGGGGGATGGTCTCCTCATCCCTGTCATGAGCCTAAGTCCCCTTCCCGAACCGGCCCCAGCGAAGGGCCGAGCTAGCAGCTCCTCAGGGAGCCTGCTGCTCATGACTCAGAGCTTCCCCCACCTTGTTAGGGTTACCTGCTCCTGATGGAAACGTCACAGAGGTTCTGTACACGGTTTGGGGATTTTTAACGCTACCTGCCATTTCCGTGCAGCTTCCTATGACCAGAGTGGCTGGTTTTAGAATCAGTGCTAACATTCCAGGTGACGGATGTTGCTGGCTTCCTTATGAAGTTAAGTGTTCGTGTTCTGTGCTCAGTGAATGCATCTGGCTGCCTGTTGTACGAGTTGGGTATACTCTATTCACTTTGTTTCCTACTACCGCAAACTCAAAGGCTGGAATCCTTCATTTTGCCCTCATTTTCTACCCCTACTAGCTTGGGTAGCGTTCTAGAAGGGAGGAGTAGTTATCTTTTCATGTCAACACCAGACTTCATAGAAAAGTCTCAAACTTCCAATAGAGAAGCAGAACCAGATGGAATCAAAGAGATGGAAACAATGGTTTCAAGACAGAGGATGGTCTGTGCCTTAGTTAGCACCCCCCCCCCATTTGTATTATACTATAGTCTATACCTCTTACTCTTACATTCTTTCTTTCCCACTAGGATAAGCCCCTTGAGGAGACAGAGCGGGTATTTTTCATTCTTATCAAGGCCATGGCACCAGTAAAGGGCAAAGCAACAAGGTCACTCTGACCTCTCTATGGCTCTGTGGAGCATTTCTCAACACTGCTGGGCCACGGAGACAGTGAGGACTGATCAGGCCACAGGGCTCTGCAGCCAGGTCGGGCTGGAGTCAGGCGGCCAGTTCAGTCCCCTCCTTCTTCTTCCTGTTTACTCACCAGCAGGAAAACAAAGGATGCTCTTTCTTGTTTTCTATATTCCCAGGAGTTCTGAGATTTAAAAAGTTGGTTCAAGGAAAGGAAAACAGTCTACATTTCCATAGCAGCTACTCCTGTTAGAAACTGATGATGACTTTTTCATTGTTCCAGTGAACTAAAAGGTTTAAGGAATTCCAAAGACCTTGGCTCTGGAAGGATTAATGCTTGCCTTAGAAACCTTAAAACTTCCGACGGCAGGTGAGGAGGGTCGTAGCTGTGTTCTTACCAATTTTTTTTTTTTCCACAAAAGGATTAAAAATGAAATCAACAGTGTTGGTAACAACACGATGTATTTATAAACTTCTACAGATTTGTGACTCTGTATACCTTCCAACAGGGCACAGGAAAACCACATGCTTTGAGCTCACTGTATGAGAACGACACTCAACAGGGCACTTTAATCAGGCCTCAGAGTTGACTGCTGGTCCTTCACACTCTGAGCACGAGGAGCACGCGGTCCACCTTCCAGTTCTAGTTCGTCTGAGTGAGTGCTTACCTCAGTAAGGCCTTTAATCTTCAGGTACCCACAAAGGTAAGAGTTCCCCGTGTCCACATGCTGGAAAGAAAGGACACACAGCCTCATTACAAACGGAGGAACCACTGGAGACTGGGGTCAGCTGCTGCGGAAAACCATGTGCCCGGCCGTCAGAGGCCAGGTGGGCTGAGGGAGAATTGCCAGGTTGGTGGGCACTAACATAATTTCGGCCAGGGCTCACCTGCCTTTGAGACCTTTGTGAGTCCCCCCCCCCACCCCCCTGCCCCCCACTTTCCCACCCGTGCCTGTTCAGAAGCTACCTGATCTCAGGACCTCTCAACCTCCTTCAGCTGAGTATCTTGAGACCAAAGTGCCTTTCTGGAACAGTGGGCCCGCTCAACAGGTTCTCGACCAAGTCTAAAAAATGTACTCCTATGCATTATTTATACTCAGCACATCCGCATTATTTCTTTCAGTTTAAAATGGCAGCATATCCCGGCAAGGCATCTTAGGAAGACTTCTCTGGCAAAAATTGCAGTTGTGAACCAAGACGCTGACCCCAGAATGGAAAATACTGGGAGGGGCCACGCTGCCCATTTCATATATGAATGCTTGTGTCTCTGATGATGAAGAGTTAGGAGCCCTAAAATAAACAGGGTAACAGGCAACATAGATTTGAGGTGTAGTATGTAACAATTACATGTATACAATTCTACGGGTTGCTCGCGACGTACCTACCCTACAACCAAATTCCTCCTTTCCATGCTGGCAGGGCCCAGATCCCGTTCTGACACCTACCCTGCCCCCACAAGACCCGATCAGCCTGACGGGTGCAAGGCAAAACCATGCCCCTGTCCCCTTGTGAGTCATCAGTTTAGGGGTAGTGACCGATTTTGACCAATGAGGTATGTGTAAGTCTCTTGGGTGCTGTGCTGGGAAAGACTGGGGCTTCCCAAGAGGCTCTCTTTCTGCCCGTGACGGCGGCAGCACCTGCACACGGTGCCCAGGGCAGCCACGTAAAGACCCTGAAACAGGCGGAATGCCAAGGATGGCGGCAACGAAACATGGAAGGAACGCCGGGCCCATGATGAGCCAGTCTGGAGCCACCTCCAGGCTTCTTGTAACCTGAGACGGCAGGTTCACCCCTTCTTTTAACTATTCCGAAAAGGGTATGGCTACCTACAGCTGAGTGCACCCTAAATGAGCCATTTCACCCAACCCGGATGGACTGATCCCCAACAGGCAGATTTTCAGATTTCATGCTGGTTGGGCTCACGGACAAAGCAAACCCCCGGAATTAAAGCAACACAAAGCACCCCGGTGCTGCAGCACGCCTTCAATTTTGTCAAGGTCTCATTTTAAGCAACTTGGAGAGTCTTGTGGTGTTTATCAGGTCTGGGGACTTAACGACTTCCAATTACACCAGAAATCAAATACTAAGGCCATCTTTAAAAAACTGTAGCCAATGGGAAGCCGTTTGGCGCAGTCGGTTAAGCGTCCGACTTCAGCCAGGTCACGATCTCATGATCCTGTGGGTTCAGGCAGCGTTCGGTCAGGCTCTGGGCGCTGCCTCATGGCTCGAGCCTGGAGCCTGTTTCAAATTCTGTGTCTCCCTCTCTCTCTGCCCCTCCCCTGTTCATGCTCTGTCTCTCTCTGTCCCAAAAATAAATAAAAAACGTTGAAAAAAAAAAACTATTAAAAACTGTAATGAATGCAGTCAGCCAGATGAGGTCAGCACCAAAGCAAATGGGCTTCGATAAAGCTAAAACGCTCCCACAGTTCGGTGCTGGTGACAAAGGTATTCCATGTGAAAACCGCCCAAGCATTTAAAATATCCTCATCTCCGGGCCTCGGCGCTGGACGTCATCCAAAGTGGCTGATCTGCACTCACACGGTTCAGCAAAGAACTTTCATTAAAAGACACACAGCTCTAACCTGAGGCCTTAAATTTCACGTATGCAATTCTCACTGAATTCAATATAGTTTGGGGCTTCACAGCTGCTGGAAAGGGTATCAGGTGGCCAGGATACCTGCTAATGAGATTAAAAACTGAACTGTAAATTGGCTAACATTTTGCGTGGATTATCACGTGCCTGAGAATCAGAATTGCAGTTTGGCCTCCGTTCAACCACGGGTCTCTCCCATTCTGCCCAAATTGATCTTGGTGATGGTGGGTGAACTCAAATACACTACGACGCAGAGAACTTTCACCAAACGACGGACCAGCATCTCCATGGGAAGGATGACAAGGCAAACGTTAGGCAAGGAAGTCTGACAGCACAGCTGTGTCCAACAGCTGCTCTTTTTAATATGCTGTCACGGTGACCCTGGCCTTCACGTTACTCTTGGCTCTTTGGATGGCAGAGGAGGAACGGAGTCGTCAAAGTAACAACGGCAACAACAAAAACCTAGTCAGAATCTCACGAAGGTCTGGGGGAGCTCTTTAAACCGGAATTTCAAGAAAAGAAAGTGCTCCAAAAAAGCACAGGAAAAGATGTGCAACATCGTTAGCCAGTAAGGAGATTCCAATCAAAACCACAATGAGATAACCACCTCACACCCACTAGCATGACTACAATCAAAAAGATGACAAATATATAGCAAGTGTTGACAAGGCTGTGGAGAAACTGGAACCCTCATCGCCCGGTGGGGGGAGTGCAAAATGACGTAGGCACTTTGGACGTCGGTCTGGCAGTTCCTTAAAATGTTAAACATGGAGTTACCATAGGACCCCGCATTCCACTCCTAGGTTTCTACCCAGGACAAATGAGGACGCGCCTACATAAAAACTCGTACAGGAATGTTCACAGCATCACTACTCACAAGAGCCAAAAAGTGGAAACAACCCAAATATCCATCTACTGCTCCAAGGATAAACAAAATGTTGTACGTCCGTACAACGGATTATTATGCACCCCCCCCCAGAAATAATAAAGCACTGACATGCTATGACATGGGTGAACGCTGAAAACATTATACTTGGTGAAAGAAGCTAGACACAAAAGGTCACATAGCATACGACTCCGTTTAGTACAAAGTGGCCAGAATAAGCAGATCTTAGGGAAAATAAAATTAGTGGCTGCCTAGGGTTGAGAAGGGGTGATGGCTAAGGGGTGGTGTTTCTTTTTTTTTTTTTTTTAACGTTTATTTATTTTTGAGACAGAGAGAGGCAGAGCGTGAACGGGGGAGGGTCAGAGAGAGAGGGAGACACAGAATCGGAAGCAGGCTCCAGGCTCTGGGCCATCATCAGCCCAGAGCCCGACGCGGGGCTCGAACTCACGGACCGTGAGATCATGACCTGAGCTGAAGTCGGACACTTAACCGACTGAGAGGGGTGGTGTTTCTTTTGGGGGTGATGGAAGTGTTCTAAAGTTAGACTGCAGTGATGCTTACCCAAGTGCGTGACTCTACTAGAAACTACTGAAATTGTATGCCTTAAATTGGGTGGACTGTATGATATGTGAATTGTATCTCAATAAAGCTCTTATGAAAAAAAGAAAGAAAGAAAGAAAGAAAGAAAGAAAGCAAGCAAGCAAGCAAGCAGGAAGGAGGCTCAGGTATGAAAGGCAGAAGTATTCTAAGGCTGAGTCTCAGAAACTAGTCCTGGCTGTAAAACCAGATGATGGAATAAGTCACATGTCACTGTCTCAATGATGGACAAACAGGTCACCAGCTCAGAAGTAGGGCAGCATTCCTGGGCATGACCACCGCTCCCACCATCAAGACATCCTACTGGAGTGGCTTCCAGCCATCAGCCAGGTCTCCGCTCTGGGCTACCCTGAGACCAGTCACGCGCCAACTCAATCACCACGTACACTGGTTCGCGAGGAAATGGGCATCTGACAAGACTTCAGAAACAACACACCCATGACAGAAGGGGGTGGCTGCTGTGAGAACCAAAGACGACTTCTCTTTGACACTTAGCTACCCTGCCAAGTCGTCCCCTACCACCCCGGAAACCATCAAATGAAACAATGGGTGCAAATTCAAGATCATTCCAAACATGACCCACAACCAAGGATCTCACTTCCAGAATCTTATGATTTGTTGCAGAAAAAAAAAAAAAAAGCCTTTACTTCATAGTAAATTCTCACATTTTAAGCAGAAGGGAAGAGGGATCACCCTATCATAGATCTAATTATGGAGAACGAATGGCTCAGTCATAATAGTTTTCCAGTTGTAATAAATATCATGGCTCATGATAGCAACTTAAGTTTACAGACCAAAGATACGATTAACGTGATGTTTTCCCAATCGAAAAAACAGGAAACTGTTGATTCCCACAAAACAGTAAGAAAAAAGAGGTTAAGGATGCCCTGCTGTTAGCAAAAAGAAAATGTATCCCCACTGACTTTTGGGTGGGAGACCCACTTGCTCAGAGGAGAGGCTGTTTAAGATTTAACATTTTTAAAGAGCCAAGGGCACATCTTTAAGGAAAAGACACGGCTTACGTTCTGTCCTCACGCATGGGGGCAGTAAGGTGGCACACTTAGGTCCTCAGAGCTCTTGTGAGGCCTTTCAAGGGGCCAGACGTTTGGAGGGGCTTTGGGGAACAGCCTAGGAGGTGGGGCGTCAGGCTAAGGAAAAAAGGGGGCAAAGGGAGGAGGAAAGTGGGTCCTGAGGCAGGCAGGGGTAGCTATGGAGGAACAGTTTTGCAGGGAAGGGGGAGAGAAAGGAGTAATAACTACTGTTGACCTCCTCCGGCTGGGAAAAAATATCAAGTGTGTTACCACTCGCATGAGAGGGGTGAGGTGCGGAAAAAGGGCCAGAGTGGGTAAAGCTGAGCTCCAAAGCTATCAGGGGCTGGCAGCAGGTACTTAGAAATTCAGGTCAGATGGGGGGGGG